TTAATATCATATATATATATATATATATATGCACACACACTTGATGAATAGTATTTCGAGCCAAAACGAGTCGAACACGAACGAACACATCTTAGTTCGTGTTCAGCTCGTTAACTTATCGAACGAAATTAACGAGCCGAACGCGAGCTTCTTAACGAGCCGAACACGAGCTGTTCGCAAACAACGAGCCGTTTTGACAGCCCTAAATGTGAGCACAATTTTAGAGACTAAGAAATATTTGACAATTGCTCCAGAGTTAGCTAATTCATCAGGTACAGAAGGTTTCGAGATTTATAGGGACGCATCAATACAAGGCATGGAATGCGTTCTAAAGCAGAATAAAAAGGTGATAACCTATGCATCCAAACAACTGAAGCCACATTAGAGGAATTATCCGACGCATGATGTGGAGTTAGTTGTTGTAGACTTTGCTCTCTAGATTTAGCGGCATTACTTATATGGTGTGAAATGTAAGGTCATCATTGATCATCAGAGTTTGAAGTACATTTTGACACAAAAAGAGTTGAATCATATGAGCTTCTTGACCCATTTGAGTGTTAGACTTACACTAAGAGGAGCTTTTGCTATTTTAACTTAATTAATTGAAGCTTGTAGATTTTGAGGTCCTCTTTCTTCTTTCACAAGGCCTTGAAACTTGTATATATTTGAAAATGTTTTAGCCTGACTGTATAGCTATTATGATAGTAGATTCTGTTGGATTTAATCATAATTCATCAATCTATTGAGAATGTCTCCTGGATTTTGATCAGTAGAATTTGTCAAATTGGATGGGTTTGGGAACTAGACAAGTCCAGTCATCAGACTAACAAGATAGAGGCTCTCCTACTTCGACTGTTTTTATGACTTGTTGAGTAAGAAGAGCTCGCTCTTTCACAACGACAGTTTTCCCAAATATGGTTAAGTCGCCAACAACTCACTCTACTCAATATGTCATAAAAATAATAGTAGTGAAGGAGCAAACTCTTGCTACTCAACAAGCCATAAAAATGGCCACAGTAGACGCAACATCATTTTGATAATCTGATACAAAGACCGTCAAGATTCAAATATATTCAACTTCAACCTATATGTGAAAATCATCCTGTAATATCCAATTAAACTAAGAAATTTGTGTACATCTGTAATATTCCTTGAAGTAAACCATTCCACAATAGCATTCACCTTATGAGTATCCATTGAAATTCCTTATCCACTGATAAGATGCCCCAATAATGCAATATTCTGCAGCCAAAATTTACATTTTGAAAACTTTGCATATAACTGATTATGTCTTAGCAACTTCATTACTACCTCATATGCTTGACATGATCATCATCAGTTCTTATATCATAATATTGTCAATAAAGATAATGATTAAATTATCCACATAAAGTTCGAATATTCGATTCATCGGGTCCATATAAATTGCCGGAGCATTTGTTAATCCAAAAGACATAACTAAGAATTTATAATGACCTAATATGATCTTAAAAGCTATCTTAGTTATTTCTGCCCCATTGACTCTAATATGATGATATCACAGTCTCTTATCAATCTAGAAAAATACTGTAGCACCCTCTAACTGATCAAATGGATCATTGATTCTTGGCATTGAGTATTTGTTCTTTATTATCACATTGTTTAGTTCTCTATAATCAATGTATAGCTGCATAGATTCATCTTTTTTTTATTATATAGAATACTGGATCACTACAAAAATTTACTGGGTTGTCCCTATCCTTGAAATGTCGATTATATGTTGTCTTTTTTTTCCTGTGGGTAGTTCATGTAATGATGCCCTGACTGTCCACATTTGCAGCCTTTCTTGAACTCATCAGACACAGCCCAAAATGTTTTTACATTTTCACAAATAGCTTTTCTGATTAAGGTTGTTTTTGCTTACCTTCTGATTTAATTTTCTTTCTTTGAAAGTATTCTTCATTGCCAAAATCCTTTCGCTTGCTTGCCTGAGATTGTCCTAGTGACTAGAAAAGTTATTGCCAAAATCCTTTCGCTTGCTTGCCTGAGATTGTCATTAGTGATTAGAAAAGTTCAACTTGTTTTAAATTTTTCTGGATTTTTCAACTAGCATTGAGAAATCACTAATTTCAAACAACTCCAAAGTCAACCTCAACTTATCTCTAAGATCACTTAAAAATATGTGGTATTTTTCTATCTGGGTACTGATATAATGTTGTGCATCTCTGGAAAGAGAAGTAAATTCTGCCTCATATTGCATAATTGCTATGGACTCTTGAGTCAGGTTGAAAAATTTATCTTGTAATGTTAATCTGGATGATGGCGGAATAAACAAATCTTTGAACTCTAACAAAATCATCTTATTAAATCTGTGAATCAGCTGTCAGCTCAAATTTCTCTCTATAATGTCTGCACCATCTGTCTGCTTTTCCTTCTAGCATGAAAGTGGCTAGCACCACGCTCCTGTTTTTCAAATAAATCATACTATCCAGAATTTTTAGATCTTTAATATCCAATCTTCAGCAACCGTCGGGTCACTGGCACTCTTAAATGTAGGTGGTTTAAATTTTTGAAAATATCTTCAAGTGTCAATCAACTTCTGCCCCAAGTTCAAAGTTGGGCCTTATAATGGTGGATGATCATTCAATAACGGTTATTTTGTCAATCATTTGCGATATCAAATGAACAAATCCCTATAACTCAATGTCTGTAGTTTCCTCATTTGTCGTGTTCAACATAACATTTCTGCTCAAGAAATTTCTAGCTCGCACTTCTTGCTCTGTACCTGTTTTGGAATTGGCCCTCAATGCTTTCTAATTCTCTTTCGGACATGCTCATATGTATTGACACAATTTATTATTAAAATTCAATTTATTATATAATAATTAGGTCGTGCATCTATGATAACTTAAGTCATGTGTTATTAATCCCTAATCCATCAACTTTTATCTCTGCATAAATTAATTTATATTTGATCTCATTCTTACATCTTCTAAGTCCAACACGCTTCTGTTATTTTTTTCATTCAATAATCACGCTCTACCGTTTTGTGTCACACCCAACTGACCCCCTTCTAAGTGTCGGTGTGACAGATGCAGACAATTTAGTTAGACTAGTTCTTCACTCACATGTCCTGATTCTGTAAGTCAGGACAAATACTAGGTAGAATTTAGTCTGATTGAATTGTCTGACTTTGTCGCAATGTAGTCAACTCTTAAGGGGGCTCAGTTGGAGTTGTGATACCGAGTTCAATTAGACTTTTGCCACATCCAAGTGAGGTTGTTCCTCTTGCCCCACCACAACTTTTCTGTTTCTTCATCCTATGTCTCCTTGTCACAATAGGAACCTACAAGGTCCAATCCTACAATGGTGTATTGAGGCAAACTTTTCATCAGACTGAAAACATAACCCCTTGGTTTGTTTCTCTTGAATCTTTGTCTCTGTAAGGCGATTGAAGGTCACTGCCGATCTTACCCATTATTATTGTCTCGTGGAGCCTCCCTCTAGAATCCCAATGTGTGATTCTAAAACGTTCCAACAATAAGTACTTAAATTCTTCTCATGTTTTCATTGACTGTTGCTCTATCTATTGGAACCACATCAAAGATTTTCCTTCCAAACACAGGGCCGCCGCTGTCAATTTTTATTTCTCTGTCAGACCATTAACAACAAAGTATATCTCTACGTGATAAACCTAAACATAGGCATCTTCTCCTTCAAAGATCGGCATCTTTAGCTTTCTTATGCATGGGTCTCCTCTCTAATTTCTTTGACTGAAACTCATTCCACCCATGAAGCGATGGTTGGATTCCCTTCCCCGACCCATATTGATTTTTCTTCTTTCGTAAGTTTGGCTCACCTCATAATCAACTTGTCTATTCCCATATGCACTTGAATCAGCTTCCGTCCGGAAAGCTGTTGCGGTTGCCTCAACAAAAGACACCTGCATAATTGTATGCATCCCTTTGTCAGCGTCCCACCGATCATGGTTCCTTGTTCCAAGCCAAAATTTTTTTAACCAAACTTCTTCAGCCTCGAGTTGCACACCAATATCTAGTTTTTCCTATTGTTGCTTGCTCAAGCCCTCCTGATGGTGCTCGATCCATTTCGCTTGATGCCACTCGAGACCACTCAACACGTCGTTGCTCGATTTTGGGCCCCATATTCTCCTAAGACAGTGACACCCCCCTCTGCATAACTCGTGTGGATTGTATGGTTGTGGGTTCTCTTCTCGCGTTTCCAACTCAAACTCACACTCCTTAGCGACGCTGGTAGAGGTCTCGCTCCTCGTTGACATCGTCACATGTGCTGGAGGGTTGGAGTGGAACTCCCTGAGCTTCATCATTTCTTATTGGGTCGTGAATTGCCCCTCCAAGGAATAGAAATGCTCCTCCATTTTTGATTTGTGTTGGCTTGTCTCACCTAATTTTTCTTCCAAAGCATCGACCTTCTTGGCCAACATTACTCTCCGGTCCGACTCTAATACCAACTTGATAAGAACGAGATAAATTTTCACCGAGATTATAGCAAAATAAAATATTTTATTCCACAAACACAAAACAATACAATCCCAAAAACAAACAAAATAAACTTATTATTCGAGAGGTAGGTCAAATCTCTCTCAAACACTAAAACTAACCCTAATCATATCTTAAGCCTTTTTTATAGTTTCATACGATGACAATAATAATTAAAAAATGACTAAATTTTTTTTTAGACTTGCGCTTAAAATAGGTCTTCAAATTATTTGGCAGGCTCGATATGGGTTTAGTGGAACTACTCGAGTCAGTGGGGCATGAGGTGGAAGATGCTGGTCTAACAAACTTCGAGTTCATTAGACTTGCCTACAATAAGAGGGTGTTATATAAATCAAACATCCGTTCAAAGGCATCAATGTGGGACCTAAGAGTCTCTAAAGTTTTGTTAATTTCGTGAATCAAGGCTCATAAATGGATCATGAATTCGTTACTCTAAAAGCTTCCTTGAAAGTTTTTAAAAATATTTTTACAAATAAAATTTATTTTTTCCCTTTTGTTTGCAGATAAGAGGTGATACCACTCATTATGATGCTGTTGCAAATTCAGCAGCATCTGGTGTGCTCAATGCTGGGTTGAGTTCAGGTTTGCTCATCCTACTTTCAATACAAGAAGTGTTTACACATCCTGTGAATTTAATCAAGTTTTCTTTATTTATTCAATTATCTTCTATTTGCATCTCTCAGCTGTTTGGTAACAAGATTCCTTGCGTTACCATTGTTTTTTCTTCCTTATTGATTACATTAATTAATTTACTGATAACTTATTCAGAGCAGTTTGTCTTTGATTATTCTTCATTTTTTCTCCTTTTTAGGAAGTAAATTACTGGAGGGAGTTTTTTTTTTCCTATTATTGGATTTGATCTAGTTTTTTTTTTTCCAGATTCAAACTTTAATTTTCAATTAAGTAATTGAAAGTGTACGTACAGAAAACATAGCTTAAAAATATTTGGGTTGAGATTAGTTTGCTGAAGTCTTTTTTTTTTGCCGTTTTGCTGCCTTGTTTTTTGCATTGTACTATCGTACAAACGTGGAAGAAGAAATATGTTGGTAAGTGTTGATTTACCATTTAATGCTCCTTTTGTCTTAATCTGTTTCAGTTGTCGCCTTACCATTTTTATATGTTCTACTTAGTTTGGTAGATCGGTTTCCCTTAATTTCCTATTATGATTAAGTTTTTATTTTTATTTTCATGGAATTGCAGGAGTTCCTTGTATTTTCGGTGTTCTTACCTGTGATAGCATGGAACAGGTACTTTTTTAAGTCTAATTTTATCTCTAACATTTTTGCAATATGCCTATATCATGAGGCATATTTTAGATCTTTACTTACTGCTAAAAAACTTATGCCGTAACCAGCTCCGCCATATCACTAAAATATAGCTAATAAAGTCTGACTATTTTAGTCCATTTGGACATTATTAAATGCCTCCATCCAAAATCTGAAATAGATATCACATTGTTGTGCTCGAAAGTGTGTTGGAAAAAAATGGGGATAACGTGTTTTTGTTGGAAAAAAATGGCGATAACGTGTTTTGTAAAACCTTTTTCTGGTTAAGAAGGAAGATTTACATACATACATATACATATATATACATATACATACATATACATATATATACATATACATAAATTTTAGAAGGTGAATGTAGTAGTAGATAAGCCACCATCAAGAGATTTCGCCCTTTATTTTGTGAGGACTTTTTGATATGGAGTTTGAAGTTTTCTACAGTTTCAAATGCCTTAAGTTAATTACTCCTCTTGATAACATGAGAGCACTTTCGATTAAGGCTACTCATTAAGAATTAAATATTCAACATCTACTAGCAGCAAACGTACGGTTTAAGTTGTAAAATTTATTACTTCAAATTTAAAGCAAATGTTGGGGGAAATGATAACAAACCAGATCAAAATCTAATGATTTCATCATTCCAAGTTGTTGTGGTCCCTTATTTACTTAGTAAGAAGGTAGTTGACCTGACGTGACTGAGGGATCCTTATCAACAACTGTGTTGCGTCGTTCAAGAGATTATTGTAGATCTGGGGTAAATGGTTGTCGAAAGATACAAATATAAATCGACTTTAACTGATAGAAGATTTTGTGTCAATCAATTCTATCCTTATAATTCACAGCTCAAAAGGTAGAAAGTCTATGAGATATATACAAGTTGTGGTCATTACCATAGTATAATAATGTCATTTGGTAGTGATCATTCAGTCAGAAGGCTCTAGTCGTAACTGCTATTTCATGGTGTCATTTACTGGCAAAACCTCGTGGGCAGAGGACTTGGGTCGACATTACTGATAGTCAATTGTTTTGATTATGAGTATATTGATACCCTTGAAGCGACATTCACTCTTATTGAGCTTAAATCGATAAAAAATTTGCACACTCGACATAAGGTTGGAGGAATTTTTTTTTAAAGTTTCTAGTGATTGATTTTAACTTGGATATTTTGATTTATTTATTTTTGATCTTTAGGTGATTGATTTTAGTCACACTTTGTTTTCTTCTATTATTTTAAGAATTGGAGATTCACAGCTCAAAAGGTAGAAAGTCTATGAGGAATATACAAGTTGTGGTCATTACCATAGTATACTAATGTCATTTGGTAGTGATCATTCAGTCAGAAGACTCTAGTCGTAACTACTATTTCATGGTGTCATTTACTGGCAAAACCCCGTGGGCAGAGGGCTTGGGTCGACATTGCTGATAGTCAATTGTTTTGATTATGAATATATTGATACCCTTGAAGCGACATCCACTCTTATTGAGATTAAATCGATAAAAAATTTGCACAATCGACATATTGTCCCAAAGGTTGGAGGAATTTTTTTTAAAGTTTCTAGTGATTGATTTTAACTTGGATATTTTGATTTATTTATTTTTGATCTTTAGGTGATTGATTTTAGTCACACTTTGTTTTCTTCTATTATTTTAAGAATTGGATTTGGAAATTAATTTGAAAGTTGATTCCTTCAATTGAGATTTTTAATTAATATGACATCATCGGGGATTTGATTGCTTGATTTGAACCCTGTCGACTTTTCATCTTGCTTGTAAATGATCGAATTTAATATTAACATATGAGTAAACATGAACCTTATCAACTCTGTCTTACGTACAGATGATCGAGTTCATATGTCTGTATTATTTGAACTTATTCAAATAGGTTCGAAACTTAATTTTAAGAATGAACCCCTCTGGTTGAAATCTTCTATGAACTTGACCATCATCAGAGATTTGATTGCTTGATTTGAACCATGTCGACTTTACAACTTGCTTGTAATTGATCAAATTTAACATTGACATGATAATATGCATACAGAGGATTGAGTTTATATATATATATATATATATATAATATGAACTTATTTAAATATACTTCAAAACTTATTTATGAAAATAGATCTCTCCGGTTGTAATCTTCTATCAACTTGATCATCATCGAAGATCTGAATATTTGAAATTTGTCAACTTTAATAATTTTAGCTTATTAGTCGTCACAACTCAGTTTTGGTGAGGAAAATCATACTAGGTGATTTGGATTCAAATTATTTATATATGTGATTTGAACATTTTTGCAACTTACTAGACTCATCAACTCTTATCTATAATAGGGGGTTCAAACTAGTTAGGTGAGATTTACGATCCTATATTATAGACAAGATGATCCGATCGATTGATTTTCAAAATATGAATTATTTGAGTGTAAGTTTGGCTTTAACCCTTGCACATCATTCCTAAGTTAAAGTATTTATAATTTAAGTTGGTGATCATGCAGATATTCAATTTCATTAACTTGAACCATAACAATAACTTATATATTTTTTTTCAAAAGATTTACATGATAAACTTGCATGCTTCTTAATGCACTAATATAACTTGAAAACACTCTCATATAATAAGTTTAAGTTCACGTTATAACTTTAGAATGGATGAAAGGTTTTCTTTTGAGCTTTAAAAAGTTGTCTTCTGTTTGCTAGTAGACTTGTTGTGAATCCGATGATGAATGTTTAAATTTTGAAAGTCCAATTTTTGATTTATTCAACCCTTAAGTGCTTAAATTTGAATTTTAAAAGCCAAAATTCTAATTATTTTTAAACCTTTCCTAAATTATTATTATTATTATTAATTTTTTAAAAAAAGCATAAGAGCTTAAAATTAAAAAAAAAACATAAGAGCTTAAAATTAAAAAGCCCAAAAAAAGCATAAAAGCTTAAAATTAAAAAAAAACATAAGAGCTTAAAATTAAAAAGCCCAAATTTAATTTATTTTCAAGCCTAAGTACATACGTTTTAAAAATCCAGATCTAAATTATTTTATTTTAGAAGACACATTTAAATTATTTCATGAGTTTCAAGAATAAAAAACCTTAAGTTTATTTACAAGACCAAATCATTCGAAATTCTTCCAGCCTCCTGGCGTCAACTCCCATTAAGGAGCACGGGAGATTGCTTACCTTCCCAACTGTCTTAAAAAACTCGCTAGTTAGTGTCGTGAGCGCGATCCTAGAGCAAAATTATGTGTTTAGCCCACGGTCTTAAAATAAGCTATAGGTCTTTAATGTACTTGCAAAAAGGGTCAAATAACAAGAAAGCATTTTTTCAAGTGACATTTTACTTTTCTTGAATGATATTTAATCAATGACAATTATTCGTGTTTCTCAGGTTGAGTATTTAAGTTCCTTAATTTAATAAAAAAATTTCAAACTAATCCATTATTTTCCCAAACGGTACTTAATTTCTAAGGATGATACTCGAGCTTTATCAAATAAATATTTTAAAAATTCCCTATTGCCCATTTTGTTATACCTTTTTGAGCGAGATTAGTGACGAAGATCAGTGAAGTTGAAGTGACAATGACAAAAAGACTAAGAAGTATAGTACAAAAATTTTCTCTTCTTTTCTCTTCTTTTTTTATACAATACAAAATATAAAATACTTAATAGTAATTTGTGAAATAAAATGCTTCGTTGATTGGGAAGGGTAATCAGGAACAAACTTTGTGTTGGTCCTTATCTCTAAAGTGAGGCGGGAGCAATTATCAATCTAAATGTGGGCTGCAAGAGGTGGCCTTTGGTAAGCTTTTGGAATTAATTTTATGTATTTATTTATTTTCCTCTCTTTTTTTTTTTCTAATTTTATGGTCAAAAAATGCCCCCAATAAATATGGTGCATGCCTAAAGCTGATCATGTTTGTTGTCTTTTGACTTTGATTATGTCCAGTATGATAATTATATGTTTTTTGTTGCTGGAAATATTTAGTTGGAAGAGATCACCTGATCTTTCATCTAATGAGCTTAGTGAGGTTTTTATTTGGGCGTAAATTGATAGTCTTTATCCTCGAGGGTATATATATATATTTGGGACAGACTGAGCTGCATTAAAATATGCTTAGGGAGCAAGACATTTATGTTAGATTCTTTATTTGTTCTATTCTTCTAGACTGCTTGTCAACAATTCTGGAGTTTCAGGAACCTGTAGAATTTGTTACTATTGAGTGCGAAGAGTACAATTTTTTGGATATGACAATGGATCATATCAGTTATGAGCCTTATGAGATTCTACAGTTAATTGCTCATAGAGTGGAACAATCAGGGCAGTCCAAAATTTTGAGTCACTATCAGCTTCATATACATACACTAGAGTGGTCCAAAGATTAAGTTGTAGGTCATGTTCCCAATTCGACACGTGAATATTTCTCTTGGGCTACATATATTCTACAGTCACATAGAGATACTTTGCGAGCAGTATTTATGAGGTAGTTTACATGTCCATGTTTGATTTCTCGAAGATTTCTTTTGTCCGGGTTCAAGGTATGATTGAGTATAGGGGTTTTAGTAGTAACACGTATTGGGTTGGCCTGAGGAGTTGACCATCACTTTATGGTACCTACATAAAATATTGAGACTTCTAATTTTTGGTCCCTAATACGAGGAGTGCATTCCACCATATTACAAGTTTTTTCATATAAGACCTGATCTTGGTGATCGTCAGGGCAGATTAGTCTTGCCTACAGTTATCCTTAACTTCTGAGTCATTAATATCGGGCTTTAGGTCTCAATTACGCATGCAAACACGAGTTATTCTTTCCATTGATGTGTCGAGTTAGAGTTTTCTGTGGGATGACTATTTATCAGATAGTACTGCATAGTGGGTGATTTGTTTTGGCTAGTATTACAATTGAGTGTTCTATCAAAGGAGTATGCCGAGTCATCGTTGTACCCCAACTAGGCTAGGTATATGTGCGAAACTGTTTTTGTAGATTTTTTTTTGCTACTTGATTGTCTACCTTTATGCTTCCCTCCAATGAGGGTTTTGTGCTTCCAAGTGTTTTGTTAGCTATTAGTCGTCTTTCACAGGGGAGCATCTTTCTATGACTCCTGTGTTGCTCACGCAGATATACATAATTTTACTATTTTATCTATCTCTGAGTTTAGTTCTCTGGAGATTTGAGATATCACATTGCCTTGACAGTACTTATGCATGGTTCCTTCCACGTCCATAGATCCTTCTTGTGCTTAGAGCCCTTTCATATTTTTTGGAGTGGGGATTTCCCGCAGTTCTTCAATTATCTCTGGCTTCTTTCACATTAGAGTGAGAGCAGGTACACTTTTTTTTCTTTGCACCTCATTTGGTCATAAAAATATTCTCTCGTTCATTAGTCGACTATAGACCTCTTTCTAGATATGTCTTTGCACCTCATTTGGTCATAGATATATTCTCTCTTGTTCATTAGTCGACTATAGACCTCTTTCTAGATATGATTTGTTCTTTAGAGTGCGACTGTTGCGATTGATTGAGTACTTTATTAGCTTACAACTTGGATGGCTGTGTAATTGGTTAAGATGTTTAGTCGTCTTGGAAGGCTATCAATCTAACGGACTAGTTTGGGTATTCTCAGGCTACTAATATGATGGATTGTTGCATATACGAGTAGTTGTTGACCCTCGCTCGATGGATTCAATGTCAAGATATGCCGTATATTTCATTACTTCCAAACCACGGATATTGCTCAGATTTCATGGAGAGGGGATTTCCTACAGTTCTTCAATTATCTCTTGTTGCGAGATAGATATAGGATATACATAAATCGAACAGGAGAACGATCTATGAAGCTAAAAATAAAACTAGAAAAATTCACACCAGAAAAGAACACACAGATATACGTGGTTCGAAAAATTGCCTACGTCCACAGAGTTGCAGAAGATTTTACTACTTGAGGAATTTACACCAGTCGATCACCTCGACTTACAAAAGAAATCTCTCACTCTCACTTAGTTGCTCTTTCTTCTTCTCTTTCTGTTCTTCCCTCTTTACACCGAGATACACCGAAGAAACTCTATACCGAGATACCTTAAATAAGATAAACTTACAAGAGAAATAACTCAATTTCTCTCCAGTCACAAGCCACCACGAAGAAGCCTAGGGAGAACAATCTTCTTCTTCTTTCCTCTTCCTTCTGCCACAAGGAACTACCGTTTGCACTTCTCTTACTCTGCCCCGAGAAAACCTTCCTCTATCTCGAGGAAACCGAAGAACTCAAATCGTGACTTCTAAACCCAAGGAGAGCCATCCGAAGCTTTTATCACGAACATGAAGGAACGAAGGGATGCTTCGCTTCGCAACATAGGAAGGCGTGAGCGGTTGGCGCCTACGGTTCGTGAATCGACACCAGGAGGGAACGGTCGCGACTGTTTCGCAATCGAAGCGGGAGCGCGGAGCGGATCGCGATGTTTCGCAATTGGGTGAGCGGAAACAGGGGTCGGACCGGGCTCCAATTCTAACAAATCTCCCACTTGGAGACTTTACACAAACTACAACATCTCCTTCCTCAAACTGATTTCCTCCATAATGAATCCTCGACCTCTGCAACTCAAAGCCTCCGTCTTCACTTTAGAAGACCAACTGAAGCTGTGCACAACTTCAGTTTTACAAGAGTAACACCCTCAGTCAACATATCAACAAACTCCTCATAGTTTTGCATCTCTAAGCTATTTTTTGGGTCACTCTTGTCTCTTCTTACAACTCCCACTGCATGGGCAACATCCTGCCTTTGCTGAAAATCTTTTTCAACAAGTCTAGTCTTGTACCTCTTACTGACATCACACTCAGTCTTCACCCGACACACCTACTTGTTGTGCAATGCATTCTTCCCTGGTGGAAGTTTTGCCAGCTCCCACTTGCTCAAACTTTCATCTTGCAAGATTTCTTTATGACTCTGTGGTTCTTCAACATCTGTCTGTGGAACAATAGGAATGGATGCCCCAAACCCACTTTCCTCTTCACTTCCATCATTGCCCTGCACTGTGACCTCTGGTAGATTTCTTACTATCTTCAAAGCCCCTGAATTCAATATCAAGTCTTCAACAGAACTATGAATTGCCAACAATAGTGCATCATGAACAATAGTGCTTTCTGTGATTCTTCAGATACCACATTTGTGCTATCATTCTCCATATTCTTGGGATTTCTGCTGTTCTTTCTTATGTGGCCAGCCTTGCCACAATTTCAGTAGGTTGCCTGCTGATCAGACTTTGATTTTGATCTCCCTCTATTTGAGTTTCTGCCATGTCATCTCCCTCTGAAATTAACATTCAGTGTCGAACTCGAACCTGAGACCTCGCTAGAATCTTTCTTGCGAATTTCCTCAGCCAAAATCAAATCACTTATATCATCATATTTCAGTTTAGATTTACCTGCAGAACGGCTAACTGCTATTCTCATGGCTTTCCAACTATCTGACAATGAAACCAACAAGATCAATGCATATATCTCATCATCAAAATTAATTTTCACAGACGACAATTGATTTGTGATAGTATTGAAATCATTCAGATATTGAGCAACAGAAACAACTTCCGCCATCTTTAAATTGAATAACTTCTTCATCAAGTGCACTTTGTTATTCCCCGATGACTTTTTCATACATACCTGATAAGGCTGCCATGAGATATGCAGTCGTCCTTTCCTTGCCGACGATGTGTGCAACGAACCTCGATAGGGTTAATCGAATAACCCCTAGTACTTTGTCAATCCAACAAATTCTATTCAGTTTCATCCATCTTTTCAGGTCTTTTCCCCAATAACAGAAGATAAAGTTTCTTCCCATAAAAATAATCCTCTATCTACATTCTCCAATAACCACAATTTGTTCCATCAAATTTCTCGATCCCTGAAACTTTCACTTCATCTGCAGCCATCATTCTTCCTCAGATCTGAACAAAGCTCTGATACCAGTTGGTGCAAGATATATATAGGATATATATAAATTAAATAGGAGAACGATCGACGAAGAGAAAATTAGAATGAGAAAAATTCACATCAGAAAAGAACACACATATATATGTGGTTTGGCAAATTGCACACGTCCATGGAGTTGCAGAGGATTTTACAACTTGTGGAATATACATCAGTCGATCATCTCGACTTACAAGACGTGGTTTGACAAATTGCTTACGTTCATGGAGTTGCAGAGGATTTTACTACTTGTGGAATATACACCAGTCGATCATCTCGACTTACAAGAGGAATCTGAATCTCTTAATCTCACTTTGTTGCTCTTTCTTCTTCTCTCTCTGAAAATCTACACCGAGATACACCGAAGAAGATAAACTTACAAGAGAAATAATCTCAATTTCTCTTCAGCCACAAGCCACCACGAAGAAGCATAGGGAGAACAATCTTCTTCTTCTTCTTTCTTCCTCCTTCTGCCGCAAGGAACTACTGCTTGCACTTCTCTTTCTCTGCCCCGTGGAAACCTTCTTCTATCCCAAGGAAACTGAAGAAGAACTCAAACCGTGACTTCTAAATCTAAGGAGAGTCATCTGAAGCTTTTATCACGAACATGAAGGAACGATGGGATGTTAAGGGATGTTGCGCTTCGAAACAGGGGAAGGCGGGAGAGGTTGGCGCCTATGGTTCGCGAATCGACGCCAGGCGAGAGTGGTCGCGACTGTTTTGCGATTGAAGCGGGAGCACGGAGCAGGAGATCGCGATCGGGTGAGGGGAAGCAGGGGTCGGACCGGGCTCCACTTCTAACATCTCTGGCTTCTTTCACATTAGAGTGAGAGCAGGTACACTTGTTTTTCTTTGCACCTCATTTGGTCATAGTTATATTTTCTCTCGTTCATCGGTTGAGTATAGGCCTCATGCTAGATATGATTTGCTTTTTCGAGTGCGACTGTTGCGAGTGATTGAGAACTTTATTAGCTTACAACTTGGATGGCCATGTTATTGGTTAAGATGTTCAGTCGTCTTGGAAGGCTATCAGCCTAACGGAGTTGCTCGTAAGTTTGGGTATTCTCAGGCTACTAATGATGGATTGTTGCATATGTGAGTAGTTGTTATTGCTACCTCATGATGAATTCAAGCCAGGATATGCCATATCTTTTATTACTTCCAAGCCATGGATATTATTGCTCAAACTTCACTTTAGCTATATTAGGTCATCCCACAGGAGTAAGCTACCTTCGATCGACTTTGATGAGACTATTTTTTAATGCTTTCATGGAGCATGGTGCTGGCAGGTATGAGCATCAAGTGAGACTATTAGGCGTTCCTTGAGGTTAGAGGTCCTATCACAGTGTTCCTCATGTAGAGGTAACTATTATCATTTTTTATCTTCTTTATCAGCAATTTTTTTTCTATTTATTGCTTCTTT